TGCCTCATTTCTGAAAGATGTGATTTAAACAAAAAACTACCATAATTTAATGATTGTATTAATGGGTTCAAGTGATTCTGTATTGCTGTGGTTGCACTTCACTGCCTGTATCTGCACCGTGTGTTTCCCCATATTTAGTAAGGTTCAAAGACCTCTGACTGAGTGTTATTGGACCCATTAAACCTAGCATGCAACACTAGATACAGCCATAATAAGCAAAGCAAGTGCAAACTGCACAGTTGCATAAAATATACATTATTACAAATAGCTTTGCAAATAGCTCTTCTCAGATAGCTATCCCAACATAATTATCTAAATGTAAGCACTGATGTAAAAGTCTGCCTCAGTTATAGATTTATTTGCCATAGTTACAGTGAAATATAACAAAATGATATGGCTGATTCGTTTTTGTGACCATGTGGACAGACAAAGATTTGACTAAGTGCAGTGGGAATATAAGTGAGACAAAGACCCTAATGACTACAGAGCCATTTGTGTGAATAGTAATCTTGCATAGGTTTCCTGTAGCATTATAAACTGACAATTCACTCCCCTAATTTCTGCTGTGTAAATATTCAGTTCATATATTTATATGGCGCTTTTTCAATACAGTTTCACAATATCTTCATGCCAATAAAGCCCTTTAAATTTGAATTTGACAGGAAGAGATAACTAGAATAAGTAGAGACAAGGCACGAGAAAGTGAGAGAGAGAAATGAGTGAAGATTGACAGTCAACACAGTAATGAAAGATCGCAAAAGCCAAGAAAAAGAAAGATAAATATTGGTGTAAACACGAGCCGCAACCCATAAGGGAGAAAAGACAAAGAAAAAAAAAACATTGGCCAACATTGTAACAACCTTGTTTCCTGTTCACACTGCACTTTAATTCCTGTGTGTGTACCTGAGGCTTATAGCTCCTATCACAACCAATGCTATTCACTGGTGGAATAGATTCAGTGATGGGCCCAGGTGGAAGTGTGTGGACAGAATATGTGTGTTTGTGAATAGGCCTTTGTGTCTGCCTTTTGCTCGTGTATGTATATATGTGTGTATGTGTGTGTGTGTGTGTGTATTTGTGTGTGTGGGACAGACACCTGTCCCAGTGTGTTTGTCTCCAGAGAAATACCAGAACAAGGACGTGATGATTTGAGAGATCAGCCAGAGTCACAGTGCGGCGAGTTAGAGCCACCAACCGTTCATTTTCTATGAGGGGCAGTGAATCCATCTTGCAGAGCATGATAGGATTTATGGGCAAAATCTTCTGACTGTGACCTGGAAGGGGTGGAAAATTGCAGCACGATAACCAATCACATCTGAGATCTGTCATGTATTTGATGTATTTATATTTCAGCCTTCATCATTTTACTGCCATTTTATTCCAATTAGGCACAGATCCTGCTCTGATCTGTTTTCCATGGGTGATCACAGCGAAACCAAATTCCAACAACCATGAAAGCAAACCATATTTCACTGCGAGTTCTGTATAATAGCTCAGGTTAGCAGATCCATTATAAAAAAGGGCATGTGGATGTGTGTGACAAAGCTCGCAAGACGTATACACACCTGCATCTTTACAGAAACAAGGCCACTGGGACTTGAGGATCAGGTGTCAAAGTATCACATTAATTAACACAGAGCTTGAGTACTCATCCATGATTTTATCTGCAGCCACTAGGCATGTTGGTGTGTGTGAGCATGTAAGTGTGCATGTAGGCTTATCTATGATCTGGTGTCTGCCTCTGTCAGCTTCCCCCTCGGGCATCAGTTTTTACCTGACTGCACGCTTTCAACTGAACAGATTTTATTTCAGTATCCGAGTTGTTCTGGCTGATGCTTACGAGCATATCAGCCACGCTTGAGAAAAGAAAAAAATATATTTGTACTATGCTCAGAGGGAGTGTGAGTGCCTTGGATTTCCCTTTTCTTTTGTGCTTACTGTTCTCTTTATGAAAGATGAAATGATGAAAGATGAAAGTTGAGGTGATGTACTCTAAATAACTATTAAAATGAATTTACTGGACTGGAGAACAGGTGTCTGGCTCTGCCAGCTGTAGCGGTAATAACATAACTATTAGAAAAATCACAAATACCCCCACTGACAGAGATCTTAACAACTACAATAGTGTTCGGTGTGTTTTTGCTTTCCACAGAATACTGGGAATGTTTCCATAAAATAAGCATTAGCTTCATGTAACTTGTTCTGCACTCACGCAAGAATCGAGTTAAAAAAAATTTCTAACAGGTGGGACTGGAAGACAGAAGCAAAGAAGTTGCATAAGTCATGTAGTGAAAGAAAGCCTCAGGTGAAGACCGACTGATGAAACAATGATGCACTCATTCATCGTCAGACAAAACCAAACAATTGCTCGGAATTGCAAGACGGGATACAAAACGTGTGACGTTAACCTTAAACTAATTCAAAGTACACATTTTTACTATGCTGACAATGGCACCACTGATGGTACGTTCAACATATCAAAAATATAACTTCACACTGTTAAATGCAAAAAGCTCATATGGTGTTTTTCTCCTAGTTTAACTCCTAGTTTAACAATAATACAGCAGATGTTCACATTTTATTGAGAGCAGAAGAGAGAATATTACACACTCAAGTACTGTACTCAAGTACCAATTTGAGGTACTCCTACTTTATTATTATTTCCATGTCAGCTACAGTACCTTATACTTCTACTCCACTACATTTGAGAGGGAAATATTGTACTTTTTTACTAAATCACATTTGACAGCTTTAGTTGCAAGTTACTTTACAGATTAAAATTTTATAGACAAAATATATGATCATCTTACAGTATATGAAAAATCTAAATGAGTTCCACTTTGAGTAGACAGACTAGTTACACATTAACCTTACTATTATGTTGAAAGAATTACATCCATTATGTGGGTTGACTTCACTTAGGACTCCAGTTTAGGAGAGTTAGTGCAGCCGTAATGATATATTTTAATTTATGCCCTATAGATATAGTAGTATAACACTCATGGGGCCATTTTCCTGAATTACTATTACTTCTCTTTACATACATTTGGCTCATTTTACTTGTAATGGAGTATGATATAACTGTTACAACAATAAAGGATCTGAATATTTCTGGTTTTGGAAGTGAGGTAAAGACAAAAGGTGTTTTCACAGCTCTGATATTAACTGTAGACTGCTGTTGTTTATATTTGTTATAATCTTAATGCGTCTTATCGGTTTGTCCTCTCTCATTTGTAGTTTTGCCTCCATTATTCTTGTATTTTATTATCATTTCTTTGTCTCTATGCTTGTAATCTTTGCATCCAAACATTATTTCAATCCCTTTTCCTGTTAATTTTCTTATATGCACTTGTTGACACCATCTCTCTTTCTGTTTGTCTCTCCCTCTTAGCCCAATCACATGCAACAATCACACTCATTTCCACATCCTCCTATCAGCTGTGTCACCACAGTGACCTTGAGCAGCAGGCTGCTGATTGGTTTCTATGTTGATGATTTGGAGGTCGTGAACCCCAGCACTTGGAATTAATGGACTCTGTCGCACGACTACAGGGCCCCTCGACACATACACGCCCACATACACAGATGCCACGGCTAGTAATAGACGGTCAATGGGAGTCACAGCCCTTACAAACCTAATTATGTGAACTAATGGCAGGCATCAGCCAGGGAATACTCAGTGTGGCGCACGCACATAAACATACAGACTCAATCACAGCAGCATGGGGTCATATAGAACCAACAAGGTGATCATGGACATACATACAGGTAATGTCCATTGGCATCACTTAATCGGATTTATGTGTGACATTTTTTTGTGTAGCCAGTGGCAGCTTCGGGTACTGTGAAAGTGCACACACAGCACAAGACACACAGTTTACACATCAGTAGCAGTGCTTGGCCCAGTGTAAAATAACAGGCTGCAGGCATCTTGATATGACAGCAAAATGCAGGTCAAACCACACATATCACCAACACGCACCCAAAAAGTGACAAGAAGAAGTGCCTACTACAGCAGAGATACACACACACACACACACACACACACACACACACACACACACACACACACACACACACACACACACACACACACACACACACACACACACACACACACACACACACACACAAAGACAGGAGACTAAATTACCGTATTTACAAGCACAGACTCCAACAATTAATTAATTTCCCTTTTAGCTTTGAGAACACAAACAATTGTTCACGTTGAGTTGTACTGCTCCTTGGAGCCTAATAGCTAGTGTGATGTGTGCTTTAAAAGGTACTTATTAGAGACAGCAGTGCTCTCTAATATATATATATATATACATACATACATACACACACTAATTAAACCCCTATGCTTGTCCCTGTTGACAAATCTTTGGAGCCAGGATGCTCCAATGAAACCTTAGACAATCCACAGTGATGTGGTAAATCTGCACAGATTTTTGTAGGCTGGTCTAATTGGAAAAGGAAAGAAAGATGGGTTGATTTTAGAGGGAACTAGTTTCTCTGGTCACTACACTCTGGTGAAAAGTTGAAGCTGCTTATAGATGTCAGAGAGAGATATAAAACAAAAACAAACAAAAAAAAAACACTATAGTTTTTGGATTTCTTAAGCTGGAAGCTACATTGATCAGCATTTACCTAGTCCTTCTTTTCAATCACACAAATAGAAGATTGACATGGAGCAAGATACAAGTTGATGTGGTGGAAGGATGAGAGAAGACCAATTAGAAGTGACCATCTGCCAACTTTGTTAGAGGGTAAAACTTATTACCCTCTATAGAAAAGTTGAAACACCTCTTCACAAATTGGCAAAAAGATTCGTTACAGCCTCTGTTACAAGTGTAAAACCACTCACTCTAACTAGGAGCATTGTTATCTCTTTTTGTGTCTGTACTACAGAGCAATCCAAACAAAGTACACTGAATTACAGTCTGAAGAGACATTACTACCTGTTTTGGCTATCATTTTGAGTTTCTTTTTGTTTTTACCTGTGCATTTCTTCAGGCTGCCAGGCCGTTTACCGTGCATCCCCAGCTTACAGTTGAAGTTTTCTTCCCAGAACTCGGCGAACCAAACATTTCTTCTGTTGTTGGACAGCGAGCGGCTACGGAAATACCGATCAAACGCTGTAAAAAAAACAAAACAAAGAAACACAGAGAGGGCAAGAGTTAAAATACATAGGGTGAAGAGGGGTTTTTCTGTTTCCTTTTTGAAACTGTTCTGAATACATCCGCCTGTCCACAAAGAGGATGAACCACTATCATTCTGATTAAAAAGGTCTTCATTTCAACTGAGCCTGTCTGTACTTAAGAATTAGGTGTTCATAGCAGTGTAATACGTTTTGACTCAGAAAGGAATGTGTTATGAATAGCCTATGGATCTAAATTATGACTGAAAAGCCTTTTCTGTGGAGCCATCCAGTGTAGGAGAGCTCCCATCAAATACTGAAGCCACGAGGAGGGAGAGCAAACATTTTAGAATGAGCTTTCACAGTCTACGTTGGCAACTTGTCCAATTTAATAAGCAGAGAGGAGGAGAGCAACGGGAAAGAACACGTTTCTCCACTCACAGGAATGGAAATACCTGTCAAAGGCTGGCAGGCTGAGATAAAGAGATGGGCGAAAGAAAAGAGGAATGAGGGAGATAAAAACACTCCTTGTACATGTACAACTTTGCTCATACCACATTTAATTGGGTACACAGCTTTTCGCTTTGTTGTCTGTGAGGAAAAGATGGCAAAACTGGATTTTGTATTAGACTTCCTCTCAATATTGCTTTAGAACTGGCCTTAACATAGTCAGTGGTGTGTTGGCTACTTGAACACAGCAAGAGTTATTCACTGTTCCGATGGACCTCAGGTCTGCCCCAAGAAGACTGCAAAGAAGTATTAAACTTGCCTAATAAAGAGAAAGTGTCATTTCCAACACCACTGGGACAGTAGTGCAGGGCAATACAGTGCACATGAAACAAACCACAGAGACTGGGGAAATCACTGGGGACTGTCAGACTGACTTGGACAGCCTGTGCCATGCCTGACTCGCTGTAAAAGCTGACAAGAGCTGCCTTGATTAATCTCCTCTGCTGTCAGGAAAATGGGACCGGAGTGCACCTGTGTAGCTCAATTGATACTTAGACAGCTGGGAACAGTGGGTTCACTCCCTCTGTAGCACAACAGGTAGCAGCACATCAACTGGGATCACAAGCTTCTCATTGTGGTCACAGATGTAATGCTAATAAAAATATAAGCATTTGCGGTACAGTGTGGTTCTTAAGACGACATAGAGTTTAAGTTGGCAGTTGTTTGGGGACACTGGACTCCAAAAGTTCCTGCGGTAAAATGGTTCATTTGCTTTCCTGTGGTATGCTGTACTCTAATTATGAAGATGGAGTGAGAAGACAGTTAGCTTAATCTGACAACCAAACCTTGATGTCATGACTTCAGTAAGTGTTTTTATATTTGAAGACAGCTGGTACCAGGTACTGGTTTCAGGCTTTGTGCTAAACTATGTTAACCGCCCCATGGTTTCTAGCTTCATATTTAAAGGTCTTATATGTAGGAGTTTGTGGCAGTCTAGCAGTGTAATTACAGACTGCAACTCCCTCACTTCACCCACCCCTTCCACACGCAAAAGAGCAACTATGGTGGTAGTGAAAATGTGGAAGCTCCTATCTGGAGCTGTTGTTTGGTTTGTCTGTTCTGGGCGATTGTAGAAACATGGCAATTCAACACGGCTGACACCATCGAAACAAACAGCTCTTTCTAAGGTAACAAAAACACAATGATTCTTATTTTCAAGTGATTATACACTAATGAAAACATAGTTATGAATATTACATTCCATGTTTGCCAATAGATCCTCTTAAATGTTACACACTGGACTTTTAAGAATGATGTGACAGTTCTTTTTCATCTAACTCTTGGCAAGAAAGCAAATAAGCCCATTTCCCAAGCGTTATTCCTATTCTTTTAAATAAAAAAGTATTTGTGGAATATGCAATGTTTTAAGCGCACTATGAACAGAACGGTTAGTAGGCTTAAAAGGTCAAATACAATGACAAAATAGGGAATGGTTGTATTTTCAAAATGTAGTACCCTCAGGAATGTGAATATGCATTTGTTATGGAAATTCTCTGTAATAAAGACAAACTTCCCAAAGAGAGAATTGTCTTTTCAACAGTTTATTGCAATCTCCATTCAATCATTTGTAAATGGACCCCCCGCTTGTCATGTTGAGAGATACTGTGTTTAAGTTCATCAGTTGTATTTCTACATGCAGTCTTGTGCATCACAGAGCATTTTGTGCCACAGCGGTTGAACACTTTCACACAAAAACAAAAGAGACTAAGAATCTCCCTGTGATTCTTCTTGGCCAAAAAGACGGTGTAACATAAGAGAGTGCTCATAATAATAAAATAATAACACTATATATTTCTATTATAGGCTTGAAAATGACCTTAGAGTTGAATCATCACCTCTCTGGTTTAGTGTCAACAGAAACAGAACATTGCATCAGATTGTCAGGTATACCTAATAAATTGGTAACCATGCACAAAGGCTTCATTAGTTGTACACTGGCTCTGTCACTCATAACTCCTCTGAAGACCCCATAGCGTGTTCCCTCATGTCGACTAGCCAAAGCTGACTTTGATTCATTTAAACCTCTACATAAGCTCTTCTCTCCCTCACTTTCAGTTTATATCTTGTCCCCTTTATGTCCCTCCAGGAGTCAATTATCTAATAGGGAGCTCTGACAGGGAGTAAATGAGGATATCCTCCCTGGCCTAATGGCAAAAACTTGTTGCCCGCTGGGATCAAGAGTGAACATGAGTGTATTTTACTTTCTGTTTCTGGTCTTTCCCTTGTTCGCTTAATTTGATCTTTTTGATTTCGAACACACACACACACACACACACACACACCTTCAGCTTCTTTTTACTTGTCACACATTTGTGTGGAGGGAGTAGGGGTGCTGATGAAAGTTTTTGGCAAGAGATCACCATTGATCTACAGTCAGTTACTGATTGTATCTTCAATCAAATTAGGGCATGGCTTCATTGTATGCGTCTTTACACACACACACACACACACACACACACACACACACACACACACACACACACACACACACACACACACACACACACACACTTCTTACCATCCACAGATGCTCGTTTGGGAAGAATTGTGATGGCTCCTCCGGCCACTCTCTCCTGGCCAATCACGGGAGAGATTTTGGACCCCCAGCTGTCTGAACCTACCCACAGGAAGTGACCTGTCTGGTTGTTCCTTTTAGCTGCGTCCAGTACCCGTCTGTTTGAGACAAGAGCAAAGAATTTAGGTGTTTACGTAAAACAGGAACAACAAAAAGCAGTGGTGGCGGTAGGTGGCTCTGGCTGGATACCGCTGGTGGCTATATGTGCTTTTAGTGTCCCACTGATGGAGATAATGAAGTCACAGCTAATGATCATAAGGATAATACAAAGGAAATACTTGACTGAATGCAGCTGATTAACTAATTACAATTAATGTAACTGTTTACTTGTCACACTATCAGTAGAGTAACATCAATGCTGTTATTACAGTCGCTAAGGAATAGTCAGTTTGTCATTACTGTTTTTAAATGAAAGTGGCATGTAGGTATCATGTAGGTAATTAAGATCATAGAATAAGTCGAAAATAGAACAGAATATGTATCACTATATTATGTAAGTAATAGCGGCAGAAAAATATGAGCAGTGGCAGCGGGGGACTTGTTTAAGGGCGTAGCACGCACCGTATGTCATCCTCATTAGCGAACATGATGACGGCCCTGGCATTGGAGGTCTCCAGCAGGCGTCTGATGATCTTGTCAAACTCCCCTGGCCTGGGCTCACGTGGGATCTTCAAGGACTGTGCAATACACACACCACCTGGGACAGAAAGAGGGACAGAGAAAGACAGAATCTATTAACTGTTTTTTAGTCACCGGTTTGCATTCCTCCATTTTGTATTCATCACTCATATTTTGTCACTTTTTACCCAGTTTATAAAACTATGTTCTAAACCTTCATTCCTCTTCTCTGGTGCGTGGAAGTGATGTGGTTTTACACAACCAGCAGCCTCAGCACTTTGAGATACATATGAGAATAAATGGACGGTAACAGTAACAGTAGCAACCACCATAAGAAATTTGAGAAAAACTGCAAGATGTAGTGTTACTGGCCAAGTGATTTTAGAGAATGCCAACCCACCACAGCAACAAGCAATGAGACAAGCACCATTTAACATCAGCATCACAGATATAGTCCCAATTTAAACATTCATGCCAAAAAAACACAAAAACATGGAGCAGGGATATAAAAGAAACAAAAGGTTGGAAGAGAAAGGAGTAAGGACGATGGACACGGGAGAGAAAAACTAGTTGTAGAAGAGGAAGGTTGATAAAGAGAGAAAGTGGAAGAGTAAGAGGGGGAGGAGGAGACATATAGTGGGGAGGAAAGAGTTAGATAGCAACGGAGGGCAGGATGGTAAGTGAAGGAAAAGAAAGTTAAAGATGGAGGTGTGGATCGCAACAGTGAAAACGCAAGGGAGAAAGATGAATGGGGCAAAGTTATGATTCAAAATAACAGCACTGTGCACAGTGTCAGGAAATATTCTCTGTACCCACTTCACACTCCTTCATTTCCTATCGTTGAGGATGACGACAATAGAAATCACAGCAATATTAGTCATTTCACTCACAATATGTGATAATGAGGAGCGTTACTCTCTCTCTCTCACACGCACACACACACACACGTTCAACCCTAGAAACATGGGCACAAAATAGATGTAATCGTTTTTGAATGAGATTCAGTCTTGAACAAATGGGCGCAAACATAAAAATCACTCTCACTCTCACTCTCACTCTCACTCTCACTCTCACTCTCTCTCTCTGAATCCAACATCCCATACTGCTTTGCACTAATCCCGACTTTATATTTAAGCTCTGTTCTGTTAATTAGCTCCGCTTCATTAGATCATTAGCCCAGCTCAAGGTGTAAAGGTGTGTGTGTGTAAGTGTGTAGGATTATGCCATTGTCATATATTTCATCTGCTTTATCCCAAACCAGGGCACAATAAGCCTGACTGAGTGTATACATGTCTTGTGTGTGTGTGTGTGTGTGTGTGTGTGTGTGTGTGTGTGTGTGTGTGTGTCTACGTGTTCAATTTTGTTGTTTGTTTGTACGCATTTGTGTGTGAGAGAGTGTGAATGATGTCCCCTTTCCTCTCCCTGCCTGTTCCAGCCCATTTATTGAACATCTGTACAGTTTGTCACTTTCACTATATCACACCCCTTAATCACACACAAACACACACACACACACACACACACACACACTCGTACCCATGCAGACGCACGTATACCAGCGCGCATGGCTGTAATACTCATTAGCCTCAAATTAAAAGCCTCTCAAGGATAATCAGTACAGTGACAAAATATGCATAGGCAACCCCATCTACCCCTCACACACACACACACACACACACACACACACACACACACACACACACACACACACACACACACACACACACACACACACACACACACACACACACAAGACAAATACTTGGAAGTTAAGAATACTTTCTCAAGGATAACCTACAGCTTTATTTTGCATACGTAAACACAGACAGGAAATTAAGAGGAAACAAGGCATACGGTGTGGATGCTGATGTTTGCATTCCCTCTCTATTGTCCTTGGAGCAGCGTAAAAGTGATTAAATCATTGTTTGTTTTATGGCCCATCATCATCAATAACTGTTCCCACAGAGAACAGATTTCCCAGATAAAGACAATATCAAATCCTGTCTGTGCATCTGCTTGTTTACGTACACACATGCACACCTGACAGCAAGTGTCGCAGCCAAAATCCACTGCTATCCCTAAAGCACACCTCGTCTTTGATGGTGCCAAAAAAAAAAGCAGCTTGTTAAAAGCGAACGTCAGTTATTAGAGCGCACCGTTGCGGCTCTGTTGAAAGGAAAGCTGCGAGGTCAGGTCAGGAGAAACATCGTCTTTTTATCATATATTTTTTTTATCACTCACAGGATGTCTAGTTGAAAGCAGAAGTTGTTGAATAAAAAGGCGGCTTTGGAAGAGAGAGATTCAACATTACACCCCCCCCTCACCCACACACACACACAACACACCAGACAGAAGGTTTGCTTCACACTGCAAACTGAAAATGGAGGAAAAAAAAGAGAGAGACCAAAATCTTGTAAACAATAATACCTGAGCTATTTTTGAAGCCATGCTTTTGTGTCGTCTGTTGAGGTTGAGCGGAAAGCTCCCAGTGCGAGATAAAAGTTTGGTCAGATGTGAAAAAGTGTTCCTGTGAACTACAAGCCCTGGTATTGATTGCAGTGAAGATCTGGGTTAAAAAACCTGCATCTCAGGTACCTGACATAGCGTGAAAGCTTTCTGTGGGCGGAATCAAATAACTATCCTCCGCCAATTCATTTCCAAGTAAAGAAACTGGAGCAGATAGCATCAGATACTCAAAATCAGAGGAAAAAACATGGCAGTAAACATACGATTTGGCAACATGTCTATAATGTCCCTCATTTTCAGACAAAGAGACATCAGGAAGAACTTTTTAACCGTAGCATCACTTGTAATGGACGGAACAGTTCCCCCCTCCGAGCCCCAACAGCACTATCTGCAGGCTCATAACTTGGCTGATTGTGTAAAAACTGGATAGTTAATTGTTCAGCGACATCACGGCACAGGCCGGGCATACTAATGTGTTAGAAATTCTCTTTATTCACTTCAGATAAAAGAATGGTCTCAGCTGTAATGGATCATAGTCATAGCCAGTTTATTACATAATTCGGCAATTGTAGCACATTGACAACAGGCTAATTGAATTACGAGCTCTTCATCTGATGAGCAGCAACACACCGAGCTCTCAGTTTATCTCTAATAACCTGATTATTGGGGCTTCAAATTGTGGAATAGAACGTGACTGAATCCTAATTCCTTCAGTCTATTCCTGTGTACCTGTGTGTTGCTAGTTTATTTAGCTCTCTGGTATATGTGGGAAGCATATATTCGTGGGCCTAAATGACTGTTCTTGTGCAGGTGTCAACCAGTGAGCTGGAGTGCGTACAGTAGCCTGCATCTATCTGTCCCTTCTGCAGCCATTTAAAAAAAAAAAAAAAAAGATGCAGGGTGCATGCTGGGATGATAAATGTGATGTTAAGTGTGCCTAGTGCTTCTCCAAATGAAGCCCTTATAGTCGGTAATTAACTCCATTCTGTTTTGAGATTAAATTCATTTCGTTTCAGGACGGGAAACACCGCTGTCTCAACGTTTAATTAACAATCTGCTTCCCTCCCACACTCTCCACTCTCTCTTTCTTTCTCTGCACCATTTCATCCATTAACATGAATGGGCAGGGAAAGAAATTACTCATCATTCTCACTGTTTGTATCTCGTTCCGGTCACTTCTCACCTTCAGCTTGTCAAACTTTTCAGGGAATACGTCGCCAAATTATTTAAACAATGTGAGAAAAAGAACAGGAGAAGGAAAATAAAAACAGTGCTCTATTACCTGGAGAATTTTACAACACATTTATTATAGTGTACAATAAATTGCACCATGGGTTTTTCTGTCACACAATTAAGAACCTTTAAACACACAGAAAGTTAGCAAGGCTGCAAGCGTGTTGGTGCTGGAAGCTTGGACATTCTCAGTTACATGGAGACCATAACATGCATGCAACAAACAACAATAGACTGCATAAAAATATGAACTGTGTGGCAGGAGCAGGTGACTTGCACCTCAATCCTGGACGAGATAGAGCTGCTACTGGCAATCATCACCTTCTTCTCCACTTTCATCCTATATATCTTCTGTTTTCCCCCCTTCTTCTCCTTCTCTTTTCCCTCTCCATCTTTGTTTCTTTTCTTCCCCCTCCCCTTTATTTGCAGTATTCATCTTCAAATTCATACACGTATCTTCCCTCTTTCACACTCCGCTGCATCTTCCAGCTATTTTAAAAGCATTGTTTGAAAAGATGACTCCAGTAGCAGTAATTTGCATCACTCCACACGCCGCACAAAACCTCCATTCAACACAGTGCAGGAGGAACCCCACAAACTCACTGATACACTCATACATCCTGAAATGTATTTATATCGGAATTACGGCTTCAGCACACACAGACAGTAATGTGGTTTCCTGCTAAGCAAGATGAGTAATGAGAGTAACTTTAAAGCTAGCTGCCCTTATACCACTGGCAATGGAGTGTCTGTGTGTGTGCACATGTTTATGTGCCTGCACGCATATTTCTGGGTTAGATGCGACTGTGTAACAAAATGAAAGGAAGGCAGTGACATCAAAGTCCCTGCCTTTAATGATTCTTCCATTAAGATATAGCTGTGTCACCCTTACAGTCTTTCTCCGAAGTATATGTGTGTGTGGTGTGTGTGTGTGTGTGTGTGTGTGTGTGTGTCTGCAACTCAGACAAATATACACACCTTGTCAATTGTTACTATTCACGCATAATATAACCAACAAATCCATGCAGGAAGGAAATTAATTCCTTTCTCCAGCTTAGCGAGCATTTCTTTGATAAAAACCGCCCACTCCATTCATCCCCACGGAAATACCTGCCAGTGAAACTGTTACTATTGGAAAATTCTCACACACATATACAGCAAACCTGCACGCACACACTGATTTTGACACACTTTCTTTCTTTCCAAACCTCATTAGCACTGCTTTAAAATTAAAAGTTGCCCTCTGCTTCTCTATGCTTTGTTCATGGCTCGGGGCACTGCAGCGTGGGCCTTTGAAGTCACTGACTTATGTGTGTGTGTGAGTGTGTGTGTGCGTGTGAATGTGTGTTGTGCGTGTGAATGTGTGTGTGCGCGTGTATG